AGTCAATGGACGGTCCCCACGGGGTCGAGAAACAAACGTGTGTGTGTGTGTGTGCGTGCGTGCGTGCGTGCGTGCGTGTGTGTTTGTTTGTTTGTTTGTTTTTAGTACAGAGTCAGGACCATTTGCACCATAGTTACTATCAAAGTGAGGTCTTTGATGTAAAGTGAGGACCTCTTCAATGTCCTCACTTTGTTTGCAGCTCTGCTGTGCTTTACTAGTTAGGTTTAGAGGTTTAGCGGTATGGTGTGAATTAAGTTGTGGTTCAGGATAGTGTTAACTATAGACCAGTAATGGTTAATTTTAGGGAAAATGTCTGGGTTAGGCATAAATACAGTTACAAAAATGAATGGAAGTCAAGACAATGGGCCTCATGCAAGAACATGTTCGTATTGTTTTCCTAAATTTCTCTTACTTTTGTTCGTACGAAGGGTTCGTACAAACATGCCACGTCAGATTCAACAAACTCTTCTATCTTCAGGAAAAGTGTGTAAATGAGCTGCATAAACATGATGAATTACACCTGTTCGTATCCAGCTGCTCGTGCACAGGGAGAGGTTATTTACATAATTACCACCCCAAAAACACCATATAAGGATATACGTTTCCTGCCCCACACACCAGGAAGTGTCCATTCATGAATGACATAGCAAAGTAAACAAGAAGAACATTACGAGATCGGAGATTGAAGTCCTGCTCTCCGAGATCGAGAAAATAAAGTCTGTCCTTTTTAGCAGCTTCATGTGGAATTAAAGGAGCTGCTTAAAGGAATGAAATCTGTTAATGTCGTGTCTCCTGTGGGTTGTTACAGTCACAGAGATAAAAATCTGAATCATATTCATCTCTCTTACAGCTCCGGTTTTTCTTTGGTCAAATATTTTTAATTTAAGTGTAAACAACTGTGTTACATAGTTTTCATTTATTCAGAAGGAGAGCAGTTGCGCACCGCTTACCATTGTGGTGGTTAAGTTTTAAGACCAAGGTGTCGCACCAGTTTACCCCCCCCCCCCCCCTCCCGGTCAGAGTTAGGTTATAAAATTAACAGAAAATGAATGGAAGTCAATGCATCGTCCCCACGGGGATATACAAAACAGACCGGTGTGTGTGTTCATGTTTTTGTTACCTGGTTGGGACAATTTTTGACCATTTTCCTGGTACACAGCCTGGTGAGGACCCACTGTTGCTTAAGGGGGCAAAAGCCTGGTCACCAGTGGGGAAATGCTCTTGGTGGGTCAGGGGTTAGGTTTAGGACTAAMGTGTGAACTGAGTTTAGGTTAAGTTTAGGGTGACCTGTAACCTGTGAGGTTAGTTTTAAGGTRAATGATCAAGTTAGGGGAGTACTTACTCAGAGGGTTCCACCTGCTCCRCAGAGTTTGTTACACACATGGACATAATTGTTGGTACCCCTTGTTTAAAGACAGAAAAACCCACAATGGTCACAGAAATAACTAGGATCTGACAGAAGTAATAATAAATAAAAATTATATGAAAATGAACAAATGAAAGTCAGACATTGCTTTTCAACCATCAACAGAATGAAAAAAAAATTCAACTAATCAAACAGGCCTGGACAGAAATGATGGGATCTTAACTTAATATTTTGTTGCATAATATTTTGAGTCAATCACTGATATCAAACGATTCCTGTAACTGTCAGTGAGACTTCTGCTCCTCTCAGCTGGTATTTTGTTCCACTCCTCATGAGCAAAATGCTCCAGTTGTCTCAGGTTTGAAGGTTTCCAGACATCAGGTTTCAGCTCCTTCCAAAGAGGCTCAATAGGATTTAGGTCCGGATCATAGAAGACCACTTCAGAATAGTCCAATGTTTTCCTCTTAGACATTCTTGGCTGTCTGTAGCTGTTTATCGTTAAAGAGTAACTTCAAATTCAATTCAATTCAATTCAAAAATACTTTATTGATCCCAGAGGGAAATTAGGTAACTTACTCCAAAATTAACTTTTTTTTAGCTGATAAACTGTCTAGAATGTGTCTAAAATGTTATATAGTACTGTTTC